GAAGACAGCCTACTGCCAAACTGTGCTGACTGACTCTTGTTTAACACACGTTTATCATTTAGAAGGACTCAACTCACAGTATTTGCATTCACACATTAGCACGCTCATGTTGCTTCTAAAGCAATGTTATCCTATAAACAGTCGTCTGTTTACATCCCTTCCTGCTGCCCAGGCTGCACATACACAGTAGATGTAGCCTCATCGAACACTTTAATAGAAAGACCGGTGCAATCTCATGTAATCCAACACAACAGCTCTGCCATACATTCTACTTTTTAAAAAGTATGTACTTTTTTAGTTTTTGTGTACCCTGTGAGAACGTTCTTCCTTCCTGTTTATTACAGAGGCTGTAGCAGGTAGTGGAGGTTTACTATAATGAAGAGGGTCCTGATTATTTCCCCCCGTGATCCACGCTAAAAAGCAGAATTTATGGCAGAGCTGTTGTCGTGAGTGAAACTACATCGCACACGAGTTCCTCATAAAATGCTCAGCGAGTGTAAATGGTGGTCAGGGAAACTTTGACAATGTAGTTTTTCCGACAACTTAGGCAAAGGAAAAAAAAAAAAATAACTGAATGCTGGTTAAATTCCCACGAGGCTAAAAGTTTATAAAAGACAATCATGTTGTACCTAAGTGAAACATCACTCCAACAGTCATGCAATATCCAAAAACATCAACAGTGTACCTGTTGGCAACTTTGAAAGCCAGGTGAGAAATCAATATCTGTAACACGGACTAACTCCACAGTTAAATTAACTGCCATTTGTCAAGCAGGCTGACCTTCAGCTGGGATGAAATGCTACATTACCATCTTAGAGACGATTTTGGAATGTAACACTGCAGTTGATAGACAACCTTGCAACTCCAATGTTTTTTTTTTCTTCCATTTTTGTGTTAAACATCAATTTCTGCCTTGTTTTGTATTTTATTTGATTGAATTTTAAAAACAAAAGACAGATCAGTGCTGATCAAACTTGATCCAAAGTTTAGTTTGGAGACACAAAGGCTGATTTAACAGCAGTGTTCATTAAAAATAAAAAATAGTTCAGAAAAGTTCTATACTGCACAAATGTCTTTAGGGAATACTTTGTCAATATAGTTCAAGTTTTAAACATTTAAAATGAAATGTACTGTGTTCATATTGATCAAAGAAATGCACATACACACACCTGACATGTCATATTTCACAACACCCAACATACACAGCATTCAAATAGTAAAACTACAGTACAAGCTATTGCAGTATAGATAATATTGACATTTAACAGTTTGCCTATAGCGACGGCACTGAAGGAATAACACAGTCTCTGCCCATACAAACTAGCATTACCACTACAAATGAAATACAAGGATTTTTTTCTTTAGCTCAGTTTGCAAACACTTGATTTGTCACTGTTGGCAAAGTCAAGACCTTTTCTTCCTCTACACGTTACTGTGTTAAAATGGGAACTCTCAGGCACTTTCCAAAAGTAGAGCAAGGCTTGGATTTAACAGACCTCAAATTGGCTAAGACAGAAATGACTTTAGCTAGTGCTGCATTCACGTCATATGGGAAAAAACAACCTTACTATTTCAAATGACTCTTAAAAAATACTGTTTCCCGGCATTTCCACATGGTAGAAATGCTTTTAATACACTGATCTTCTTACGTGCTGAAATCTCATATTATCAGTAAAGTTAAGGAAATCATATCAGGAAAACAAAAGACAATTATCATTTGCTGGATTTGGTTTGGTGTAGAACATACACTCAAATAAGTGCATCTGCGTTGCATGTAGAAAAGCGCCATCAAGCCGACTGAAGTCTTCAGAAAACTTCAAACTCGGCGTCTTGATGACTTCACATGACGACGTGTCCGTTCAAGTCGTCCCTTTCAGCCGTCAAATCATCTCAACTGATATTCCCATATGACATGACTGCAAAATAAGACATGATGGGCAAGTAGAAGACTTGAATCACTCTATGGTAATGGAAGCCACCTCCTTGGCCTGAGCATGCTGCTGCTGCTCTTCTTCAAACACCTCTGGGGAACTGCCTCCGACACTGTTGTCCATCTTGGTCTCCTCTGTCATGGCTGCCGTCTCGTCGGCGTCCATCTTGAGGGAGGCTGGGGCTTCCAGGGGATCCAGGGGCTCGGGTGAAAGGAAGCCGGAGGAACTCTCACAATTCTGGGTGGAGGAAGAGACCTGGGAGATGACAGGCATCTGGACTGAGGAGGAGGACGAGGCGGCAGTGGTGGTGGAGGTGGAGGTGCTGCCCGGGTAGACCGGGTGATGTTGAGACTCCTCCAGCTCATACTGGACTCCCAGCGCCTCCTCCTCCTCCTGCACCTGGCTCAGGTAGTCGGGCACGAGGAAATCACTGCAAGGACCAAGAGAACTTGTTGAGTTCACCATCTTTTCATTTGCTACAGTAACACAAACTTTAGATGTAATTTTTGCAACTATACAAAGTCTGAGGATGAGGAGAGAAAAACACATTTATACGCTACATCTTCACTAAGGTTTTGGTCAGTATACACTCAGTGTGGATGGCCTCTAATCAGTACAAAGTAATCTGTGTTGTTCACTGTGATCTGGGAACCACTTACAAGGTGGTGTCTTCCCTGTTATCGAGCCTGTCAAGTTAGCGCTATACCTCAAAAGCATAATGTAGAACTGAACTGACACAGAAACATTGTCCATTTATAAAAAACATTTCTATGAAGGATTTACTGTAGCGTCAAATCTGACATGTTTAACTGGTCAGAGGTTTGCGCTGAAGCTCAAATGATTGATCTACTAATTGATCAATAGCTGATTAACAACAGAAAAAACCTGCAAGTTGTTTAATTTATCATTTAGATCATTTTAAAGCAAGAAGATTCACAACTGTCTTTTCCAGCATCTCAAATTTTGCTTTCTTTGTCTCATGTTTTGGAAGTGGAACTCCATCAGTATGAACTGGTATTTCCCTAAATAATTTTGACCAATTATAAGCTGCATTATACCCACTTAAAGGTTGGTGAGAGGGAAGATAAAAAGCTTCAGAAGTTGTCATTTAGCTGTCACAGTATATGTAAATTATCCATCTATCCCTTCATCCATCCATCCGACAGATCACAGGCACTTAGCCTTACTAAACAACATAAAATGTCTAGTGGCTGTATTGTGTTCTGGTCTACACAAACTACTGATGTAGCTGCAGCTGCTACCTCTGCAACATCTTGGATTTCGTCCTGTATCACTGCTCAGCTCTGGTGCATAAAGCGCATCCAGCAGCTGCTGGTCTACTCTAACTCATGTCTGACATTGCTCATTTTGTTTCTGCTGTAAAACTTTCTAGTAGCTTTGCTGAAAACACCTCAATGTCACAAGAAGTCTAGTACACTACAGAAGTCCAGAGAGGATGAAGATACATTTTTATGTTTTCTTCAAAATGCACTCTGTGATTTTAACATCATAAACTTTCCTTTTAATGTGCTAAGTGATGCATGTCCACTCTCACCATCCATACATACGATGCACCTCTGACACACTCCAGTGGTTGTAGCTTAATCAGTATAAAAAAAACAACAGAATTCATTTAAAAATCTAAGGTGAGGGTTTGTAGCTGTGTTTGAACATGTGGATTTGAGATGAAGTGTTTAGTGCCAATACAAATGCTCAAAATAATGGGTAAACAATTTAAAGGACTATACAGAGTAGTCTAAGTCAAGACGAGGCTTGGCTCGGCTTTCATCACGTGATAGTATCCAAAGAAGTAAATTTGAATTTCTACAACAGAGACCCATTAAAATGTGCAAGCACACAGTGTGAGCACGGCCGTGAACTGGATTTAACAGACTCCACAGTCCCACAGCTTTACATGTACAGACTATCAACCCGTAGGGATCAGAGCTCAGAATCCAGAGTAAATAGTTAAGGTCAAGTGTAACTCGTCTGTGGCACAGACAACAGCTGAATCTGACAAACCAGTCTGGAAATCAGCAACTTAGAAAAAAAAGTACAGTGTTGTTAACATGTCTTTTTATGTGAAGACTGAGGATGGGAGTTAAGAGTCTGAGTGAACTGCCAGAGAATTTTCCACACTGTTATGATCTCAGAAGTAGACCTTCTACTATAAAACGTTTGAGGAGTCAATGGACCATTTGAGTCCTGCCGACCTGTGAGGGCTTGACTTGATTAAGAAGTGGAAAAGTCTGGGAAATAAAAACACACTTGGACTTTAAAAAGACACTGTGTTCTGACTTTCATGCGGCTTTATGGGCTGAGCTGCTGATAAAAACAAACAACCCACTCTACTTGGTTAAGGAAAAGTCATTCATATAGAAACACATAGACATGACAAAATGATCAAAGTAGTATTTTGCAGGTAATGTTTGACCACTTAGACTTGGTAATGATTTTAAGGTACAGCTGTGTCTTTCATAATCAGAATCACAATTTTGGCAGTTGGTGAATGTATCAACAAGAACTAACCAGCCTAATTTTGTAAACTAGACAACCCACTTCATCCTCACATCTTCAGGAAGTTTGTCTGTTGAATGTTAAAGAAGTAGTTTGACATTTTGGGAGATACACTGAGTTGTTTTCTTCTGAGACATAAATGGGAAGACCAATGTCACTCATGTACATATTAAGAAGCTACACCCAGCAATTGCTTTGCCAAAAGTAACCAAATCCACCTGGAAGCACTTCTACATGTCATTAATTAACACGTCATTTGTTATTTATTTGCTCTGTAACTGTTGTCAGTAAGCTGTTATTCACAGCTTTATGGGTTGTTATGTTCCTGAAGGTTTTTTGGGGGGCTCAGGCCAGTTGCAAAGCAACCACCAGATGATCCAGGACTGTATCCAGGCAAGAAATAGTCCTCAACAGAACCTCCTGTAAACTGACAGCTAATTGTACAGAATAATCAAACCACAAACATTTTCATTAGGGAGCTTTGGAGGTGTCTGGAGGTGGATTTTGTTACCTTTGGTCAGAGTCACGGTTGCTATTTCCCAAAACTTTCATTCTCTCTGTTAAGCTAAGTGTAATAGCTGCTGGCAGTAGCTTCAGATTTAGACATGAGAGTGATATTGTTTTTCTTATCCAGCTGTTACAAGAAATTTAAAAAGCCCACTTCCCCAAATGTCAAACAATTGTTTTAAACAAGTGAAATTAAGATTTCAAAATAAAAACAGTCAAATACTTCAGGTACATTTGATTTGAGCATTCAAATCTATTGCAATCATCTCAAAAAACAATTCTACACAACCAAAGCCTCGACAAGGATCCAATGAAATTCAGGTATTAGAATCTAAACTGAAGTTATTTTCTGATCCAGGTGAGATCTGAGTAAATGATGGGGGTCGGCGCCCCCAAACTCCTCACCTGCTCTGGAAGTAGTTTGCTAGTTCGGATGCCTCATGGTTCAGACTCCTCAGGTGTACAATTAAATTGCCAGAGTTGGTGAACATGGCGCCGCACGTTTTGCACTCATAAATCCGCGGCTTGCGGATTATGTGTCGGGAGACCCTCATGTGGTGCTTATATTCACCGAAGGACGTGAATGTGGCGCTACAAATCTGGCACCGGAAACAGCGTTTACCTTCGTGCTTCAGCCGATGCATCTTTAGGGAGTAGGCCCGTGTGAACTTTTTCCCACAGCGGTCACACTGGAAAGGTTTAATGCCTGGAGGAAGAAGACAAAACCATTGCTTGCTGATCTAAACATTCGCATCACCCAAGTGTGTGTAACCATGTGTGGGTGAGGTGAGGTGGAGGGTTAATGAAATCACAAAGTCTGCCAACTGCTTTCTTTATCAATGTATTCCAATATGCCTTGAATAAAAACGCCTCACTACTCATCCCTATGGTCCACACAAGCTGCAGCGAAGCACAACGACCAACTATCATTTCACCTTTCATTTAGACTTCCTTTAGCAACTGTGCTCTGTAGACTTCTTAAGAATTCCAGGTCATGTGGAATTCACTTTGCACGCAGATTTACTTTTTCATGAGCAAAGACGAAGAACAAAATGCGTGGGCCGTCAGTTTGCTTAGTAATTAACTTAAAATGTATGTGGTAGAAATTTTAATTATTGTTATTTCAATGTTAGTCTTTCATTTTATCTCTAAAATGATACTTGTTAACTAGACAAATAGCCGTCTCTTCTATAACCTACCCACTAAAATCAACTCAACGGCAGATTCATTAAAAGTAAATATATGCTGCAGGCTTTTCATAGCATCAGCTAATCACAGCCACATGATGTGACTCACACCAACCGAGCAGGTTTTGATTTTGGACCCTTTCTGCTCCACGACACCATCTACGCTACAAATGCTGTTTATGGCACTGTTGTACAATTTCACTATGTTTGTTGCAAGTAAACGTGTCACATTAACTCCATTAGTGTAGTATTATGTGTCCAGACCATCAGCAATGGAATTTGTACAATCTCTCCGTGGTTTAAAAACAAGGGAGGACAGAACACTCTAAAACATGAGACAAACTGCCTATAAATTCCTTTTTACCACACTGATATATTTCTATCTTTAGTTGTTTAAAAACACTGAGTCACAGTGGATGGAATTTGGGTCTTTTTACAATAGCAAACAAAAAAACCCACAGCGATTCTTTTTTTTTTTTTTTAACAGAATTGACCTAAATAAATACAAAAACCTATAAAACCTTATTGTAATGCACCTCAAAGTGAATTTACACAAAGTATGTTTCCAGGTGCTGCAGAGAACTACTCTAAGTTGTATAATGTCTTGCTTATAAACCCTCATCACTGACGCATAGTTGTTGGTATTACGCTACTTTCTAGTCCACTTGGAGGAATCTGTTCCATACATGCACAGAACCCACAGAGGGTTCTCTGCGGACCCTAGCAGACTATGGGGTACTTGTCGATGTGAAAACACTGGCTTAAAGTCTTTAGTGTCTCCAGAAGAAGCTGTATGAATGCTGATAAATGTTCTCAAGTGATGTCACAGGAGTAAGTGTTGATTGGTGCCGAAGAATACAAGCTTATAAAAAACTAAGGGTGTGGAATTAGAAAGAAGTGTCCTCTGTAGGTGTCTCTTTATCCGTGCTTGAGGCCAAAAGCCGCTTCTAGCACAGCACACCTCAGTCTCAATCTGAACTGTCAGGAGTGTGTGTATTTTGGATAGAATAAAGGAAGATGTATCTCTAGTTCTGATGCACTGATTTAGATCCTTTCTTTTAAAAACTGTTCATCGTGATTCAAATGATGTTACAGTAGCTCAATGTTAAGTAGCTGAGTACTGCTCTAAACATCAATGCTTGACACTAATTAAATGGATGAACAATTTGACATTTGAGTCTCAAAGTCTCAAAAGAGCTTTATTATATCAGCTGTGGCTCAATGCGACTCAGTGCTATTACAGTGTCCTAAAGTCTCTACTGCCGTTTTAAACCTTAGCACTACTATACTACCAAACAACATACAGACCATATAAGTTAATAACATACATATATATTGGTACCACCATTATACTAGTACTATTAAAGTACTGTATTGTAAATTAGAACTATGGCACTTCATACTAGTAGGAGCATGAATAGCAGCTTGTGCTTTTTTCTGTAGTACTACCCCAGTACCAGCTGATGTGATACAGTACTACAATAGTACTCCCTCTAATGGCAATACTATGGCACACAGTACATTTCATTTTCCTCATAATTTTACCTACCGGAGTGTATGAGCATGTGCTGTTTCAGGTTTTGAATGCGTGTAAATCTGACTCCACATGTTGGACACTGAAAGGGCCGGTCAGGGCCATTGGTGCCGGGCCGAGCTGACGGGCTGATATAGAGGTGGTACGGATACTGAATACCTTCCAGCCTGAAATGCACAGAGAGGACAGATCAAAGTGATAATTAAGCCTGTATGTGCTTACATGGACCAATACATCAATCACTGTATGAAGGCTAATACGTATACACTGACATGCCAGTAAAGGAACTCCTCTAGTGTCTCCTAATAACTCCTCCAGAATTACATCAAGCATAAAAATGTTGTGGAACAACTGACACTGTGATTAGTGATGATAGTGATGTGCGTCAGGTTGGCTGGCATTTATCGATTTCCCGTAAGAGGTCATGTTGGCTTTCAGATAAAAATTTATCACCCATGTTTGTGGCTTGAGGCTTTAACAGTATACAACCAGCATTCTTTATATTACAGTCCATCATTTCAACCTGACATCTAAATTTACTATCTAAACAGGTGTGGCTCAGACGCCCAGTCATGTTATTCATGTCTATATGTCCTCAGTTGCGTATGACTCGTTCAGTGCAAGTTCTAACAAATTGTGATACCTCTCATCATCTTCTGCATGTCCTCCAGCGTTAGAGGTGCTCTGCATTGACGGCAAACCCTCTGACACTCCCTCATCCATCGAGCCTGGAAAGACGAAAGTAAAAAAAAAAAAAAAAAATACTGTGTATAAAGCCTAAAGTATGTCATCTTGGACAGAGACATGCTCATATACTATAGTTCTTTGAAGGCTAATCCCCCATTTAAGGATTGATGATGCTGGATAACAATGCACTGTGCTATTCAACAGTTTAGGAAAAACTGACGAATGTTTCCATTTTCTTTTTATTTATGGCAGGGCAGAAAAGCTTTTCAAAAAGCATTTGGGCCACTGGACAATAAAACTTTCCACTGAGACCAATACAAATAAAAATCCTGTGGGTGGGTAGACAGCTCTGAGGACAGGGTGAGGCAGGTTTGATTGCACATTTTACAAAGCAACACTGTGTTAACTGGGTCAGGACACAGTCTCTATTATAAAGGTAATATACCCGGTAACGCTGGCACTATGATGTGTAATTTCACAGGATTTTTTTTTTTTTAACAAATAGATCAATGTAAGGGGTAAAGTAACTATAAGCCATCATCAAACATACAGAAGTACTTTTAAAGGCTGTTGAGCAGACAGTAAGGAAAATAGCCCCACCTATAGAGGAGGACTGTGGACTGATAAGCAGCTCCTCCTGGACCTGCTCACTCCCTGGCACTGTCTGTTGGTCACTCAGCGAGCTCTGAGAGGCACTGACCGGCTGTGATGACGCCTCCTGGACCTCCTCATCACTGAGACGCTCCACCTTCACCCTTACATCTTCCTCCTCTGCTGCCACGGGCGACGACACCACCTTGGAGCTCTCGCATGTGAGGAAGTCACTAAGGCGACGACCGACCACTACCTCTGAGGTCCCTGGGGTGCCCTGCTCTAAACAACGAGGGCTCTCTGGGAGCTTTGATTTGTCCGAGTGGAACCTCCGGTCGATACCGAATGGGAATGTCCATGGAAAGGCCAGGGAGGACTCAACAGGCTGGGCTGTGCTATCTGAGAACGAGGGGGATGGGTTGGGGATCTGAGGGGAGGTGGTGACCATCTGTGTAGTGCATTTGAGCGGGCTCTCTGGTGATGCCATTGTTACAAAGCTTTTGCGTTTCCGTCGTGATTCGCGGCATATGGGAACATTCCTCTCCATCACGCTGCAGTCAGAAGACACAGGTGACACGCTGCCGTCCAACGGCGTCAGGGCACAGTTTGATGAGGCGCTCTCTGGTGCTGATTCATGCGGTTTGTCTGCTGCCATGTTGTTGTTGTTGTTGTTGTTACCGGGGCCCCACAGAATACTCGACTTCATGAACTCTGAACACGTGCTAGCCACAGCAAACATCTGCATGTAACTTGCAGCTGCCAGGACATCAATGATATTCTCTGTGCTGATGGACAGGGTGGACGTGTAGGCATATTCCAACAGAGGAGCGAAACCGCTAACTGTCACGTGATGAAGGTCCAACACAAACTTGTCCTCCTCCTCCGGCCGTCCCACCAGTTTGGAGCGGAAGAATTCACTGCAACAGGCCAGGACAACTTTGTGGGCCAGGAAGAGCTTGTCTTGCACCCGGATGGTGACGTCACATAAGTGACCCTCGTTGCGCAAAGCATTGAGCTTCTCAAGCATCTCCTGGCTGTGGGAGGTTGAGCTGTGGGTGAAGGTTTTGACCCCCATGTTGGAGTCCCTTTCAGACCGCGAACAGGAAATGTGTCCTGCGGAGAGATGGGAAGAAACAAAAACAAAACGCTTCAGTTCACAAAAGCTAAAATATATAAAGGGTATCTCAGGAGTCAAAGATCCACCTCCAGTAGGAAAATAAAAAGGTGAGATCATTGTTGATAAAAGTGTTTTTGCTAGGCTTTGTTATTCTTCTGTGTGAAGCACATTACATCATTTTTTGTTTGTGTAAGAACGTCAGTATCCATTGATTACCTCACTAAACTTAATCCAGACCCAGCATTCAAAGAATCAGGTGTGAAATCACAGATGTCACAGTAGACTCTCACTGAACCGCTCTATTAAAAATTTAACAAAACGAGCTGTCTAACATCACTCTGCAAAACACCAGCTCCAGAGTAAAGACAGGATTAAAGTGCACTGTTGAAGGCAGTGGGTGTAGGTAGAGAGAAATACGAAGGTGCTCTCCGAGGGAAAGGCAAGGTAAGGAGGGGCTGAAAGCGGGGTAGGGAGCACGGAGGACAAAATGCCAAGTTATGTAACAACAATCAAAGCAGATGCGCAGCGATGCGAGCCAGACCCATGTGGAGGCCAGTGCACTACAGGACGCTCAGCAGCTGTCTGCGAGACATGTGGATTCTCTGAGGCATGAGATTTTCCATCAAACAAAAGCTCAAGTGAAGGGGCTCTCGCAGGGAGAGCACGCTCCCCTTCACACACACGGACCAAAGGAAAATACTCTTGGGCTATGTTGGCCCAGTAAAGGCAAAGTGAATTATAGACCTGGGCTGCGGTGGTGCAACAGGAGAGTGCCTAGTCTGAACCAGCAAAAAGGCCTAATAGAAAAGCGCTTTAATTCCACCATGGGGTTTTCACATGGCTATAATATCTCCTGTCAGAAAATTATTTAGCTACTTGATCTCTATTAAGTTTTTCCTGGAAAAATGGAATGTTTTTTAGTATGTATGAACTTAAGGGAACGGTGTTGTATACAAATTAAAAGCAATACACAGCCTGGCATCGTTTTCAAAGCGGATACATCTAGTTACAAAAATCATTAGGAAACTGTAGAAACAAAGAATTTTTTCTTTATCTTTTCCTTCATGTTTGAGTCTCATAACTTGTTGTTTAATACCTTGGTCTTGTGCATAAAGGTCCACTATGTAGGATTTAGGGAAATCTAATAGCAGAAATGGAATATAGCCTCCATATTATGCGTTCAAATGCGCATTACTTCCTCTTACTACAAATCATTGTGTTAGCTCAGAATGAGCCCCTCCTAAATAAACAGAAAGTGGGTCCTTCTCAATGGAGCTCACCATGTTTCTACAGTAACCCAGAATGGATAAATCAAACACTGACTCTAGAGAGGGCTTCCCTTGTAGGTCTTCCTACATGCTTGGACAGGAAAGTGGATTCAGTTGGTGGCAATCTGCAACCTCACCCCTAGATAGCACTAAATCCTACACGCAACTCCTTTAAGTCAAAGAGAATTATAAATGTAGTGCAGTGGTTCAGCAGTGTGTACCTGATCAACGAGCTTTGCTGTGAAGTTTCAACAGCAGAACTAAAAGACAGGAAGTCCTGCAAAGACTATTTCGATGATAAATTCTTAAAGAAAAATATATGAACTTTTCCCGGTTACACCTTCTAAAATGTAATCATGGTAGATTGTTCTCGTATCATGCTGACTGTGTTTGAACCCTTTTGATTTGTTTTGTGTTCTTCATGTGGGCAAACTAAATAATGTATTTAGAGATATCAATGAGCTAAAAAGATTGTATAAACGTATACATACATTCATCAATAATGGCAATAGAAGCATCATTCAATGAAAAATCAGTCAGTGCCTCCAATCTGAGTCCCTCAGAATCAGTAGATTTTTTGTTTAGTATATTTGATAAAGCCATGCCAAGTTTTATTTTCATACTATGGATATTGCCGTCCCTTAAAGTACATTGGGGTGGATTGAAAACCTTGCACTTTTTAATTTGCGTCATTTTTCGCAGCATTTCTGAAGCCTTATAACTTCATGAATCTAGGAGATAACACAGCTGAAATTTCAAAGCTGAAAAACACATTTGAGTTTTGTTAAAGACTGCAACCAGATCAATTTTACATCCACTCCAGGTGTCACAATCTACGGTCAAATCTTGTTTTTGTTCAGCATGATTGTTTAATTAACCAACTTTGGGGATCAGAATCATAGGATATTATATTATACTTTCAATGGCAACACTGCACCAGTTTAATGTCTATGACATACAGCAGAGTCATAGAAAGAAACATTGGTACACTGGACGTGTTGTCTGTTTTCTGATCATTTTAAAGAAAAAGTGCATTTTGGGTAAATTTTCGAGGGTCCTATCACCATGTGGGATAGGTGGTTGGTCAAAGCAAGTTATAGAAATGAAAGGTCCCTTTTTTTGCCAACATTTAAGTTATTGTTCTTATCTTCTAGCGATGTTTTAATCTATGTCAATAAAAGTTTCCAATATAGGAATATTTTTTAACACCTGTGAATGTAGCCAATGGCTGGGAAATGCAGAACAAACACTGATGTTCACCATATAATAATTTAAACAGATCGCATTGATCAAACAAGTTTAGAGTCTTTCAAATTCTGCTCCAACAGCATGAAGTCGTCCTGTTTATTGCCATATTGTTGGTCTGACTTACAGGATGGAGGATGTAGGATATAAGTCTGCTATTGGCCGCTCATTTCAGATGGCTTTCTCCTTCCCTTCCACTGTCTGTGTGTTGCCATTTTCTTTACTACACGAAACAACAGCAACAAACTCTACGCAACAGCCTACCACACGAAAAAAATGTCAAGTTTTGCTGAAGGTTTGGATTGAGCATTTCAATGGCAGGTCTTCTCGCCGGAGCTTTTTTTTTTGAGGGGGGGGGGGGTTTGCCTTACAGCAGAATGATACTGAAGTGCAGCCATACCTGTTCTACAGTATCGGCTGGCAAAGTGAAACTATGACATTCAAACAATCGTGATGATGTGTAATATTGGTATCAAATATTAGTCTTTTCCACAGGGACAGGAAAATGTTCATGTGGGAACTATCATGGTTTTAATTCCCCTCGTAGATCTTCTATGTTACATCTTGCGAGTGTCAAAATATGCCAATAAAAGAAACTTACAATCATGGCTCGAAGATGAGCCTCAATCAAAATGTAGGTAAAAAATGAGATCTTTCCTATGCTGTAACCTGCTTTATTAACTAGTTATGAGAACTCAGAAATACTGGCAATCATTTCAGCCACCCCTATGTACTTCAATGAACTGTAGCTCGGAAAATATTTGTAGTATAAACAGTAATATTTTACATAGCTTTATTAAATAGAGTGATGTTTGTCAAAATACAAAAATAAACCTGCTGATTCTGAGGGGTTCAGGTGGTTTTAAGTTATAGTTAATTTCACATGGAAAGACCCAAAAGACTCAGCAACATAAACAACAACAACATCAACAACAAAAATCAAATCCACAAAAGCCCCTATGATGGCGACAGGGCAGCAGGTAGCTCCACTGTTTACATCACGCAACAACAGGCGAGCAGCAGCGATGTAGAGACAGCTGACAGCAGAGAGCAGAGAGGCGGGACGTGTCTGAGGCATGGGGCTCAGAGTCTGCTGGACGAGATGCTGAGCAAACGTGTTTACAACAACAATCACAGTTTAGCCAGCACTGGCTAACAGTGTTAAGCTGACAAGTCAAGTCCGCCAGGATATGAAAAGTAGGTCCGATTATAACAGTCAAAATAAAAGACAGCTGAAGACTGCAACGCTTTTGGGATTTCATATGAAACGAAATAAGTCATTGTGCTATAATTGCTGCTGTCATTCAATTGAGTGTGTGTGTGTGTGTGTGTGTGTGTGTGTGTGTGATCATAACTTGTGAAACATACAAAAAAACTACATGAACGGTCATCAGACTGTCTGAACATCCTCAGCCAATAAACTCCTACTATTCTCTTCTATGTGTGTACTATATTACAGCCATTTCTCTTCACATATATTTATATTCTTACACAACTTTCCAATAGCCTGTAAGAAAAGTACAGCAATCAATGCACCTCAATTATTGTGAAGCAGCCACAGCTCCGTCGTGGCCGTGGATAACCCTGTCTGACTTGACGCAGCTGCTGCACGTAAGCTAACCACCGTTAGCCACCGAGCTAGCGCTAGTTGACACAGCACGGCGCTCTTAGCAGGCTCGTTAGCCTTTATTTATGCTAACCCAACAAAGGAGCCGGATAACAGCGCACGCAACCGGGTTATCGCTATCCAGACATACTGTACGGAGGGGGTTTACCTTGCGAGATGAGGCCTGTGATAACGGCCGGGCCTCGGGATGCAAACAGCTCAGCTGACAAAAAGCAGTCGGAGACAGCGGTGCGCCCTGCCGCTCCGCTCCGCTCTCTCACATTCCCCGCTCCTCTCAGGCGGTTGTCAGCCTGCCAGCCGCCGAAAGACACTGTTTAATTAACGCTCACATGAATTCACATCACAACGGGCTGGTGTTAAAAGTTGCCGAGGCGCTGTTTTCATTCCTTTGTGCTCCCCGCTGTCCTTTCTGCGCTGTGTTTGTACCCCCACAATGCAACGCGCATCTCTCACTGTACAGTACTGTAAGAAACAGGAAGTGTCACGTTCAGCGACATGAAGCGCTCAGATGCTGATCAGGAATCCCTGCGGTTTTCACCAACTCATGCACTTTGCGTGGCCTCTGTAGACCCGTTCATCTAATCAGAACATGCGCAAATCTGGTGTCCTTGTCAGTTTAGACAGAGGTGTTGCTCCACTGTCTCAGATTTAGAGTTTACTCACTTATTATTTAGAACCTAAAACTTAACTTCTTAAAAAAAAATATTGACAAAACTTTTCTAATTTCACACTCAAAAAATGTCTTAACTGGACAGCCATTTTAATTTAGCCTCATCTCCAGAAATATAATCCCTAAAAAAAAAAAAACATGAATTCAGTGTGGACACAGACAAAATAGTTTCCAGCACACACAAATGATTGATGACAGCTCAGCAGAGGCCACATTTTCCATTGTTAGCTCTTAAAAATGTGAAAAAAGTACACAATTTTTACATAAGGGTGGTATCCCGTCCCCAAAAACTTCTTGTGCATGTGTGTATATATGAATATATCCACATTTCTTGTTAAAATACAGTCTTTGGTCTACATTTTACTAACTTTTTAGGCCTCAACCATCAGTATGGTTTGGTGTGTGTGGTAAGTATGGCATGTCAAAGTTCCAGTGCTCTGCTGTTTTGACAAAATGGTGATGTAAACTAATTCGTAGGAAAAATTGATGGACACAGGGGTCTATATATTCAAAAGTATATAATTAGGTTATACTATGAAGTTACCAGTTGCTTTTATGTTGCCTTCATGTTGAAATATAAGATCATATGAATAAGATCATACTAAATGTTCAGATACATATGCTTGAATGAACACTGGACACAGAAACTGATGAAAAAATTAACACACATCACTCTAAAGCTTGTTTTTTTATTGAACATGTCATGGCAAGTACTGTATCAGCAAGACTGGTGAAACTGGATGTCAATTCTGGACCAAAAGCAACATAAAAACAATACAGTCGTTCTTTAATCAAGTCACATTTAATTTATTTGCAGAAAGTAAATTCACAAAAGCCATCTGACTTCTTCTGGTTGTCCTTGTGTCAAGTTTGCATTGTCCCTCCTCATAGTTGGAGCTGGGATGGGGACAGAACATGTCGGCCTGCTGTTGGCACCTCATTGTCATCATTGCTTCTCTTTCATTGAACTCTTTCATTCATTATGGAAAAGACTATTCAGTTATCAGAATCTTTTGGTCACTGATCACAACATTAGATCAGTCCATCCATCCATCCATTATCTATACACCGCTTAATCCTCACTAGTGTCGTGTGGGGCTGGAGTCTATCCCAGCTGACTCAGGGTGAAGGCAGGGGACACCCTGGACAGGTCTATTCTACAATTTCATTTAGCAGACACTTTTATCTAATGCGACATACATCTGAGAGCAGATACAACACAAGCAAGGATCTAGTTAGGAGAAAACAGGTCTCCAGTCTATCACAGGGCTACACTTAGAGACAGACAACCAAGCACACTCACATTCACACCTAGGGATAATTTAGAATCACCAATTAACCTCAACATGTTGTTGGACTGTGTGGGAGGAAGCCGGAGAACCCGGAGAGAACCCACACTGTATGGAGAGAACATGCAAACTCCACACAGAAAGGTTCCAGTGCCCCCACCAGGACGTGAACTGGCGACCTTCTTGCTGCGAGGCAACAGTGCTACCTGTGCCACCTTGCAGCCCCGTTACTTGTAGATATTAGTTATATTTTGCATTGTTATTGCATAACTTAGCACATGTAATTCATTGCTCTCCAACACTGACTGTGACTTAATTAATTAATATCAGCCACTGACCAATAAAGCATTGGTAAACCAAACTCCATCAGTCCATGATAACTAAATAGTCTTTCAATGAAAAACAAGCAGCCCCCACCCCTACTACGTTGGAGAACTCTCAGACACACCAAATCGATTTTGTAGTTGTTTTGTGTCCTTCTGTTGTCATTTTGCTTCTCTTTGTTGTCATTTCAAGCCTCTTTCTTGTCTCTTTTTGTTTGTTGGCATTATTTGCCTCTTTGTTGTCATTTTGCATCTCGTTTTCAGTGATTTCATTGACTTCCCAATAAGTACATTTCACATAACTTCATTCTAATACTTCTGTATGCCAGACATCCAAGGCCTTCCACTGTAGTGATGAAGCTAGGCAGTCTGTGAGAACTAGTCTGACTCACCGGGTGTAGGTTGCAGGTATAAGCCTGCCTTTTGCAGATTACTTTAGTTAGCATTCTCTTGACCTTCCACTATTTGTGTGTTTCTGTTTTTTTTTTCAACAACAGCAACCTCCAGGCAGCAAACTACTGCACTGGAAGTGAAACTGAAACTGAAAATCTTGCCAAGGATTTGGACTGTTAGCCCTGCTTATGATGACTGTGATTGATTTAAAGAGTTACCAACAAGCCAGGGTGTTTTTTTTCCCCCCCTTATAGCAGATGATAGCGTGGTGTTGCCTGATTACTATGTTCTACAGATTGGGTTGGCTAAGCGAGACGAGTGGAAACAACAGAGAGCAATGGAATCCTAAACCAAATCAAACTTTGAATACGATGTGTTGGATTTTGTAGTGCATTGGGATTTTTATTGGTGACATGGTGGAGTAGTGGTTAGCACTGTTGCCTTACAGCAAGATGGTCCTGGAATTGAACCTGCTGGTTTCTGTATAGCGTCTTTGTGCATGTTGTCCCTGTGCCTGCATGGGTTTTCTCTGGTGCTCCGGCTTCCTCCCACAGTCTAAAGAAATGCATGGTTAGTTAATTGATCATTCTAAATGGCTGTAAGTGTGAATGGGCACGGTTACTGTCTGCTGTGTACCCCACCTCTTACCCAGTGTTAGCTGGAATAGGCTCCGCCCCCTGGAAACCTCTGCAGGATAAAGCATGTATAGCTAATGGATTATGATTTTTACTTCTACCAAACTCAGTCAGGAGTGACAGACATTAAAGACAGGATATTGTTAAGTCATTGTTAAGTCTCTTAAATGGAGATTTCTTGCAAACCACAACTACTGAGTATTTTTTAACATGGCTGTTTATATTTCAGTTGTCTGGGCAGAGAAGTTATTTCTATGTGGGAAGGTTTTTACTGACCACCATAAGGGGTTTCAGTTTGTAAAACCAGCAGTGAAATCTGCCTCACCCTGCTTTTAAAAGCTACTGACACACCTAAAAAAATTCCATTAGTCTGGCCTTCCATGGAGTGTTTTAGTGTCCTACCGTGGTCTAAAAGCATTTACGGCTCATTTTGAAGTATGGCTCCTCCCGATAGTGGCACATTTGCTGATGTGTACTCACCAGTCTGGACACAAGAATCCTTCCAGTAATGATGTTTTGGTGCGCAATCGAGAAAAAGACCAATTATAGGGCTTTTACACTTATTTGGATGCATATGTTTGTAGAAATGAAACTTTTGGTTATCATGGATGATCAGTTGCAGTCAAAGAGAACCAAGTATTGACATAAATGTGTTTATTTGACCATTTTATAGACAAAAATCTCAAAGACAGCAGCATCTGCCATGTTAATTACATGTCCAAGGTAAAAACTTTACAAAAATAAATAGCTTAAAAAGGAAGCTGCAATAATAAAATAGTATGGTCCTTCACTGAAGGGATATAGGCCTAATGCTCCATCTCTTGTTTTATAACATACTGTAAATTAACAACAGGAATGAAGAAATCAAATATACATACAAGAGTCTAAAAACCACTGTGAGCGTTTGCATATGATGCATTAACAACAAAAAAAAAGTCTGAAAATGAATAAAATTAATGTTATTTTTCATATACAAGATAGATAATATGCTTATCATTTAACTTAGTAATATCTCCAAACAAACATGTGTTGTTTGTACCACTGTTCATCTCAACTGCATTGTAATGCACCTCAGAAAAGGCTAAAATCAAACTACGGGGCAGAGGAGGAATCTCTGTCGTGAGTTTTTCTGTTCTGGAGTGACCAGTCATTATCTAGGCTAAAAGATTTCACACAATGTGTAAACTCAAATTCTATCAGATTCTTTAAATTCTACATGTGTAGTTAAGTATTGAAATAATCCATATTTTTAAGTTTAAATAATTCCAGATAAAGTGTCAGCGAATGGTTTGCCCATCGCTTGACGATGCTAATCTTTAGGATACAAGCATGACATCTTTATCGCAAGCATTTAATGCAGATCACATTAGTATGCGTGTGGACAGGAGAAGCAGTCACACCAGAGCACATTTCTCAGAGGCTTTAAATCCCAATGCCTCAATCGTAAGAACTTACCTCAGTAATAGGTAAATGGCTCGATCAAAGCTTTATAGAGGGTTGAGTTCTGTGGAGGACAGTTGGAGGTATATTTACACTGTGCTGGTGTTTGACAGCAGGTTTAATGCCATTGTTCTAGACCCACATTAAGTGACAGCTAACTCAGGAAGTGCAGATTATACTAAACTTCATCCAAAGAGTCAGATTCTGTTTAAGTGGGACTAGAAAGCTTCTCATTCTAGAGAAAACATACACCGCACCTTCATCTATACATAGCATCACATGTACATCCTGAGGTAGATTTTCATTGTGTCAAATCTCAATAGTGGTTGTCAAATGTCAACAAAAGATGACAAAACAATATTCAGGTACAAGCCCTTGATGTGACTTGATGCAACCAGATGGTAACATGGATGGACTGTGAGACAATGGGTCCTGGGACACAGACATATGAACCCGACCAGATTGAAAGAGGCCCAAAAAGACGACTGAGATTTGCCAGATTACATTTTGCAGGTTATCTAGAACTTTTAGAATCTTAGAGACGGAGAATTGAGTAATTTTTTGTCGCTTTGCAATTAACTTGTAAGGTCATATTGCGTCTTTTAGTCATTTTATGTCTCTCTGCAGTCATTTTGTGTCACTCTATGATCATTTTGAACCTCGTTGTAGTCTTTAGAATGTCTTTGTGATTACTTGGCACCTTTTCTGGGTAATTTTGTAGTCGTTGTTGTTGCTTTGTAGATATTTAGCCCCGGGGCCCACTCCTGGCGCACCCATTCAGTAATCCATCCATGGCTGGTAAGTGCACTCAGACCAAAAAGTGAAAGTTCACCATGTTCTTCATAAGCAGTCCTGGTTGAAACATTCTCCAGAGACTGGCTCTGGAACTTTCTTCGGATCACACTTCTCTGACTCGACAGTCTTCCCAGTGTAGTCTATGCAGAAGACGCTGCGGCGACGCTCTCCCTGGCCACAAGTTCGTGAGCAGGCAGACCACGGTCCCATCTGCCATATGGGGCATGGCAGATCCCCACAAGGCCTGATGTCCATGGGCTTCAGGTCTTTGTCGCACTGGCTGGAGAGGAATCCTTCGTTGTCTCGGCATTCAACATTCCTCCTGGACCACCCAGAGCCACAGCTCTTGGAGCACTCAGACCACTCTCCCAGTACCCAGTCAGGTACACCAAACGGATGGATCATATGCAAAGATGGGGAAGAGCCCTTCCTCTCCTTGGATTTGTTGAAGGTCACATCTCGGGGGATAAAAAAGGTATACTTGACCTTGGGAGGGTTGGCATCCCCTCCAGTGGCCAGGAGTTGGATGGTGATGGCCTCCTTAAGCTGCCTGAAGCTCTGGATCCTCTCTAACGTGGTAGAGGAACCGCTGTACTTTAGTATAGCGCCCAGCACTGGAATATCTTGCTCCACCGTGGACACAGAGAAGTTACCGTTGAGGATGTAGCTACCGCTCTCTCTTTTTATAGCCAGGTAGTTCCCGTCATGTTTGATTCCTCTGTGACTCCGCTGTTTGATGTCAATGTTAGTCGCGCCAATGGGAATCGTGACAATGTCATTGTATCCAAAGCTGAAACAAAGAAAGAACCAGATTTAGATAATCAACACTTAGTACACACATTGTGCTGTGACTTTAAAGAAATAAACAATTTGAGAATAGATATATTTGTTTTCTTCTTCTGTAAGTGAGCAGACAAGATCGATACCTCTCTTGTAAATAGTACAAAGCTTGGCTTAGCTTAGAAATTGTAAGCAGGTGAAGTCTCTCTCTGGTTCTTTCACAATTACAAAGATTAGCATACATGTAAAACTAATCTAAACTATTCACCGCCTAATACAAGGATTTAACATTTTGGGTAATATGATAGAAACAGAGCCAGTGTAGACTGCTCCCAGGTATTGAAGTTTGCAAGCAGCCATTGACATGTAGTTGTGAAGTGTCCAGCTAGCTTCTACAAATGACCACCTCTTCACTCCAGTTGTGTACTTAACTTGCAGACACGTAATTGATACTGATATTCTCATCTAACTCTCGGAAATGACAAAAACAAGTGTGTTGTGTTTATGTATTTAAAGAAACAGTGAGTAGGATTTAGGAACATCTAGTGGTGAGGTTGCAGATTGCAACCAGCTGAACAGCCCCTCCTTTTCCCTTCCCTTTATAGTAATGCAGGACCTTTGGTGGCCACTTTAACGTAAAAATGTTGAAGGTCTTCTCTAAAGCCACTGAAACACCATAGTGCAACATTCAGCAACATAAAGCTCCTCCTAAATCCAACACAGTGGTCCTCTAAAAGTTAGATTATAATTTATTTGTCTTTTTTCTTATTGATTATTTTCTTTTTCTCTGCTTTTCATTCTGTTGCACTTATTTATATATTATATTTATTCTGCTGATTATGATGATGAACCATCAACAATTAAAACAAATTGTGGTATACTGTAACATACTCACATCCAGCTTCACTAAAGGTTTGTGCAGAAAATAATGTCCTGTCAAGACTACAAACCAAATAAAGCAGCATTAACATTTAGCCTGATTTTGTGTTGTTTTTGTCCATTCTAATTAACTATTCTTTGTGCATGAGCAAGCATGAGGAAGCAGGGTTTCGCATGCTATGATCTTTGATGAGATTGGAGAATGTCCAAATTACAAATAGACTCACTTATACCCTGAAATTAGTCTTACAACAAAGGCCATTTGTGCTTGCAGATGGTGGTGAGAGCTACTGTTGCTGATTGTGCCTGATTAGCAACTAGTACATACATTTTAATGAATCTAAACTTCATTGTGACCACAGGTACATGCAATTTTTAATATCATTTTCATATGTGAGGCCTGTTTTCTAGAAGACTTACGTTGCTTTGTTGTAGGAGCCTGTGATCTTTCTGCAGGCGAGTCCATTTCCTCCGCATTCTCCACACTTATCCACCCTCTTGTTGGATCCAATCACCTGGTCGCAGCCGGCCTTCACACACTGGCCTTGGACACACACGGACGTAGTGTCAGGGCCACAGGTCGTTCCGTCAATCACCTGCAGCATTCATACAGCCGTCATTACAGGTGTAAAGCAGTGGTCTCATTCAGATGAAAGTTTTCTTAATCATTCCTCAATTTAGCAACAACAACTTTTGACCTAGAAACCTTATGTTAGGTTTAACTTCATCTAAGGATCTTCAGCAGCTCATGATCACATTTTTGATCTGATTATAACCCTGGTTGATAATCTAAGGCCATGCGCTGGAGTTTAATGCTCAGGAAAATGCTAGATAGTGAATCTTTTTGTCAAAGTAACATTTCCACAGAAAAAACATGCTCAAGTTCTTTGATTTAGAATTTGATTTAAGGGATTAGGTATTTAGTTTCCCACCCACTGCAGTGTCCTGTTCATATAAGGCCACCAAATTCAATGTGTCTGTAATGAGATGATCATCTGCCAGCTGAAACTAAAAGTGTAAGAGCTGCGCTGTCGGGTGTGAATACTGTACCTTGGATTCAAACACCTTAAATTCACTGCTGCCTCTGGCCCTGCAGAACAGCTTACATCTGTCTCTGGGAGAAACACCGGCGTACTTCGGTATCCACTGCTTCATGTTCCCATTGTGATCCAGGTAGTTGGGGCTGTTGTACTTCTCACACTGCTCCTCTCTGAAACTTATACCTGAAAGTCAAAGACAGAACAATTAATAAAGATATCCTACGGAAACCTTTTTGTTCTTTTGAAATACTCTGTTAATTGGTAGGTATAACTGGTAGGTTAAATGGTCATTTTTAATGGCCTTGGAGTCTGCATGTTTGCTTGGCTCTCTTTGTTCGTCCTTTCATCCCATGTCAGCTGGGATGAGCCTCAGCCCCCATTTTCCAAAGTGCTCGAAAACATTTCCAAAAAATGAGTTTCACTGAAAACAATAAATTGCTGAGTGAGTCATGTGGGCTTTGGACAAATACATCAGTCTTATGAGCATTAATGGAAATAATGGAAGGCATTATACATAAGGGGGCTGCAAGGTGGCTCGGTGGTTAGCACCGTTGCCTCGCAGCAAGAAAGTCACCAGTTTGCATCCCGGTGAGGACACCCAGGACCTTTCTGCGTGGAGTTTGCATGTTCTCCCCGTGCAGCGTGGGTTCTCTCTGGGTTCTCCGGCTTCCTCCCACACAGTCCAAAAACAT